TCATGACACAGACTTGTTTGCATTGAGTGTGGTGAGGCATAGAAATAAAAAGCACAGTCCGACCTATACAGATTTATGTGGGCTGATATTAGGGCGTAAAAAAAAATAGATTAGATACAAAAAAATTGGCCAATATGCATTTTTTGTGTAATGATTCCTTGTAATTAATGTAATTAATATTTCGCTGTTTAACCATTATAGATATAGACATTTTTAGCTAATGTGACATGTTCCAATGTACAGTAGCTTTTTCCTTGTAGTGACATTCAAGGTAAATAAATACCTGAGAAAAACGTAAATTTCCCTTCTCCTATAATCTATAATCTTCTGTTAAAGCAACTTTATATCAAAATGTCAGTTTCACAAAACAAAACTCTGTTTTTGAAGTATTTTATCACAAAAGATGAAGCCACAGTTATTTATCACTTTTATCAAAAGTCTTTGAGCTCAGGAAGTGGCGGAGAACAAAGCAGAGCGACAAGGAAAGTGAGTATGAGTCATAACGAAGGCTAAGTCTGCTCTCATGGCTGTCGGATGTGTAACGAGATAAATTTGCTGACACACTGGCCTTAACAAGGTTGTTATGCATCAGTGTTATGATAATAGCTTGTTTCCGCTGCCCCCATGATGATGCAGATACAGTTTTATAATCTAGAGTGAAATGAAAATAGAGGCTGCAGTAAGCTCAAAGGATCTGAGGGTACGTTCTCATACCAGTCTGTTGAACACAAATTTATAAGCTCCCAGGTCTCAGTGGGAGGAAGCGTTTGAATCAGACACGTGGATTAAAGATGTAAAACAGGTAATAGTAAATTGTTGGCCGGTAACCACAGTTTATTGCCTCTCTTGACGAGCAGAGGCCAGACACACCCTGGTCCTTCACCTGCTGGTTATAAACAGGTCATATTAAATTAGAAGAGGATGTGATACATGAATTTCCTTATCAGTGAGGTGTTGAGTTTCCCAATCTTTCTTTGAAACTGAGTCATCATTTCGCTTCAGAAGCAGCTTTACACCCTCGTCCCACCAAAGAAGAAACTTTGAAACATGGCTTTCAGTCTGAACCACGCTAGAGTTTGAGCACCTGATCATTTTAAATCCCTTTTTTTGAAAAAATATTAGTCAACCGTAATGTTTGTGTATAAAATTAAAGATTGTGCAAGTGAATTATAAATAGAGCATAAACCGCCTTTTCTCAAAATAGGCGTCCCAGTCCCCTTTTCAGCATCAGTACCTCATGCAACATTCGTTTAGACAGAATTAGATTCGCAGTTCCCAAACGTACTGTATGTGTGTGTGTGTGTGTCTGTGTGTATTTATGCCAGAATGTGCGGTCACTCCCAAGTGTATTAAAGTAGCTTGTTGCTGCTGGTTGTGGCCGTCTGTGTGTTCCAGCCACAGATTACAGGGCCTGTCGGCAGACGAGCTTCTAAACATGGGTCACAAGACAGCCTGAAATGTGACAAGTTCATCTCAGAGAGCTGATAGCCGGTGTTGTGTATCTTAAAGCACGTGTGTGTGTAGTTCGGAATTTGGTGTTATTTCTGTGTGGGCAGCCTGGATGCGTGGTTTTGAACGTGAATGTTTCCAATGCATGTTTTGAGTCATGTTGAACCGCTGTGGTGCTTTGATGTAAAACCTTCACTGGAGATTTTGAGACTAGATGTGTTTCAGTGTTTCAGAAATAACCTCATGGTAGATTAAAAATGAAATAACTTTCTTCATAAAGAATCTTTCCTACAAGAAATGCAGCTCAAAATAGATTATATTCACCTGCACGCAACCTATGACATTTTTCTATTGCTCTGCTTAAGATTCAGCAAAACTCTGCAAAAGATAATCTTTGCTTTCAGTTTGAGGAAAATGTATTTGCATACCTAGCACATTAGTCATTCAGATGAATTAGTTAGCACATAACTAGGTCAAGTCTCCTCTTCATATCTCTTTTAATTTCTTTAACTCCAGTAAATGTACCAGTAACATCTTACAGTGAGGGAGCTCATCTTTCCTCTCACCAGTAGCTGTACATTCAAACTCTGCCATTCAGGTTTTCCACGTGACTGAGGAGACTCTTTACCTCCTTTTATTGTGGTTTGGCACAACTAAGAAAACCATCGTCTTCCTGTGAACTCCAGTCTGACAACATTTTTACTCATCCAGTTATTTTTTTTTAGGTCTTTTATACGTCTGCATTTTATCATATATGTTCAGAAACGCAGGCTCGTGTCTTTAAACACAGAGAGCCTTTAAAATCTGAATGGAAAAGAATGATTGTGTGTGTGTGTGTGTGTGTGTGTGTGTGTGTGTGTGTGTGTGTGTGTTTAAGCGAACAGCACAAATCTTGTGGGTTAACCTGTGGTTCTTTTCTGTACGGACTGTTTGTCTGCCGTCACCCAGTCAGTCTGTCATTCAGTCAGTTTTATGAATGTGTGTGGGCAGGAGCTGGGGAACCGGTTCTGCCACCTCAGTGTGTGTGTGTGTGTGTGTGTGTGAGCGTGTGTGTGCGTACATGAAATCCTTTGGACTGTCTGTAAGCTAATTATATAACAACACCTCTCCCATTCACTCCCACTCTGCCTGCCTCCCTCCTCTCTCTTTCTATGTTCCTCTTTCTCTTTTCATCACACACACACACACACACACACACACACACACACACACACACACACACACACACAGTTACATCCTGTTGTTGTCAGGTCAGTCACTGTGTCCCTGTGGGGACGGCTGCTGTCATGCTAATGCCTGAGAAAGTCTCGTGTCCTGCCTCCATTGTTCCGTCTCATCTTAAAGACACTGAAGACTCAGTTGACTGCAGAGGGAGTTTTTGTCATGTATTGTTTTGTTATGTTATATAGACTGAACTGTTCTCTGATAGTATGTATAAGATGTCGCAGCTGTGATCCACTGTTTCTTACAGTAGTCCTGCAAATCATCAGAATTTCCTTTGTCATTCCATCTGTTCATTACATTTTCGTGTTAAAGTGATTAAAATGTAAGAATAGACCAAATGAGAGTGGGTTTGTTTAGGCTGATACTGACTGATATATTTTCTATGAGTAAATAAAGCTTGGTAATAGTACATTGAACACACTGACTGATTAAATACCCACTCTCTGGTGGACAAACAATAGAGTGGTGACATTGGTTCGAACCGTGATTCTTGTTAATAAACATAAATATTGACACCAGTATATCTGCACCAAGTTAATATAGATGATTATTGATCAGGCTCTTATAATTAGAAAGGACTGACCATTATCATTTCTCAGATAGTAAAGTACAACTTTAAATTCTTCGTTTTGTACAATCAAAGGTCCAAACTGCGTGACATATTGCAACAGATCAACAAGCTGGAGTGCGGTTCCACCGGGCAGCTGCCAGGCGTGAATGAGCGAAAGAGAGTTAACTACCCTGAACGAGTGAGGATTTATAAAATCTGGAGGCACATGCAACAGAAGAACAAAAGATGGATCCGGATCCGCAAAAACAAAATGTACTGGGTACTTTCCTGACACATACCACATCCCTTCATTAAGTCCGGCCTGTAGTTTTTTCAGACAGACTGACAAACAAACACAGAGGAAACGTCACCTCCTCAGCTGAGGTAACTGCATCTCTGACAGGAATCAAACAGGGATGTTGTGATTACATGTAACCAGCAGGTCACCCAACGCCCTACTTTCTGCATAATCACAGGGTTACCTCAGGGAAGGCTGAGGTGGTCACACATGTAGGGAGTGAGTCATCTCGTCTAATTTAGTAGACGATGGTTTAAACAGCAGCCACGTTTATTAAATACATGTAATTTACTATTTTAAATAGAAATTCTATTCTGGTTAATGCCTCATGTTTTTCAAAATCATTTTCATGTTTCTATGTCAGTGAGGTGGCCCGGCCGCCTGTGCTATAAAACACAACAGGAAACCCTGAATCAGTTATCAGAATTAGTCATTGATTAATCTCCTTCTGGTCAAGCTATTGATTAACCAAACCATCATCTCATGTTGAAATTCTTCCCTCACGGAGGTTTTTTAACAACCGGAGAAGAGAAAACAACACAAAGCTTCATTTACATTAAAAAACTGGTGTGTTCGTGCTGACTCGTCCCGGTGCGACACCTCCCACCTCGGCGCAGCGAGCAGCGGGCAGAGTCGTGACTTGAGACGCCCTCAAACATTCTGCCCGTGTGTGAATCCAGCTCTATAATAAACTGCTGTGGCATTAACACAACCCTCAGACTTCTGTCGGAGAAATTAAAGCTAAAGTTTGAGTTCACTGGAAGTTGAAGGCAGAATGAAACGGTAGCTTATCCTTTAATACTCGTTTGCTTTTCACACATTCGTCAAACCACATTTGTTCTTACAAAATGTCGGTATCAACATCGAGAATTGACACCACAGAGTGACATTATCTCACTCAGTTATTTCTGTTTGTTTGTTCTGTTAAACTGTGGAAGGAAGTGGTTGCTTCTCTGTATCTTACCTAATACAAGTCGAACTGTAAAAAAAAGAAAGAAGAATCTGGTAAAGACCTTAGATTCTGGATGTGTTTTTAATATCACTTCAGTTCTTCTGTAAGTTTAACTACAGATTTGATGTGACTGTTTGCATGCAGTCAAAGCTGGTGGTGCAAAATGGCAATTTTCTGCAACCATACAAGATTGTTCTGCTCTTGAATGATGATTGATGTCCCCTGTGTCTTTTGTCAGTGGTTTCATAAGTGATAGAAGATGGTTGATTCTAAGAATTCTCAAGTTGAGTTTCGTGGAAATGATATTCAACTTGATTTGTCGCAAATAATGTAAGGGAAATTCTGCTTGTGGCTCTTCAGATACATTTTGGTTTCACTAGTCATGTGACTGAGTTTCCTCTTTGACCACAGCTTCAAAATACAAACTGTGAGATCACATTTTCTCTTTTAAACAAGCGTAGAAATGAATTACATATTTTTTTTTAAATATTCAGGTATTCTAATTTATTCTCTCTGTCTTTATCCAGTGACAGCTACATCGTGCGTGTGAAAGCGGTGGTGATGACGCGGGACGACTCGAGTGGCGGCTGGCTGGCCCAGGACGGGGGAGCTCTGAGCAGGGTGGGGGTGTGCCGCCTCCTGCCGCAGGAGTTGGCCCCCGTGCCGGCCTCCAGCAGCTCCCAGTTCCTCATCCGTGGTGAGCGGCTACGGGACAAACAGGTAAAACACACAACAAACACAGCTCATTTTAGAGGTGGAAGATGTGTCTTGTGTTAAGACGATATGTGTCGAACAAACAGGTTATCCTGGACTGTCCGCTGAGGAAGGATCTGGTGTACACCATAGCAACGCCCACATTTCATCATTGGAAGGTGGAGGACAGGAAGTGCGGCCTGTCCTTCCAGGGTCCAGCCGACGCCAGGGCTTTCGACAGGGGGGTGCGGAAAGCCATCGAGGACCTGGCAGAAGGTGCGCTGGCCTGAAGTCCAACTGTCTGTAGAAAAAGATGAACATGATGTCACAGATCTGTCAGGGATGGCAAAGTCTTAGCGGAGCAGACGAGAGACATATGGGACATATAAGACAGTGTCAGGATGTCTGAGCTGTGACTAGAACATTGTCCACGTCCTTCACAGTGTTCCACTCATGTTAAAGAAGTTTCACATGAAGAGGTGCAGCATGTTGTGCATGAAGAGAACACCTAAATAATTAATAAATAAGATCAGGACAGAGACGTTAGAGGTTTTATAAAAGTTACAGGTGTAATTAAAGTTTTAATATTAACTGACGTTTATTCCACTTGAGATATGACAGTACGAACACCCAGATATTCCTGGATCACTGTATAACCTCTGGGACTGGTGCTGCTCTTCTCTGTCAGTGGACGAGCTTGAAAACATAGACTAAAGTGTTTCTCCCGTTCTCCTCCACAGGCTCCACCACTTCCTCTACAGCACTCCAGAACGAGGGCGAGCTGGGTGATGACGACGTCTTCACCGTAAGCAAATTCTCCTCCTACCCACGACTTCTTCTCTAAAAATCTGTGCACAGCAGAATTGAAAAAATTGTCTAAGCCCTGTGATATACCAACGCCAAGACAGACAAAAGTAAAAAATAAACCGTGCTTAATTTCTGCAGCGGTGCGATGTGACGTCATCTGCTAAGCTGCTGTGTCGGCCACTCATATCATCCAGGTGCACATTCCCGGTCCGCTCCTCTGCAGCATGCACAGAGTATCTCCACAGTTTACTGTTGAGACAATGTTGATGCAGTCGCAGCTATGATAAGTTGTAAAATCCTGTGAGTGAGTCTCACACACTGTTGTGCAGTTCTGGTGTCTGATAATCCTTTAAACACATAAATACATTACTGCAGCTGGACGTCCCGGATCAGATTTCATCTACCTTAACCGACCAACGCTGATGAACGCTGACTGCTGCAGTCGCCTCTTGTGTGGTTAGACCGAGGCCCAGTTTATACGAGTACTTGTTCAACACGTCCAATCTGCATCAGTAAAATGGAGGTTCCAGGCCCCGGGAGTGAGCTGTGGTTCCACTTCACACTGAACAACTAATCAGTCAAAGTCCCCAGAGTCCTCTACGTCCAGCACATCTCAAAACTGACCTCATTTCATCCACTTAGCAGAAAGTATTTCAGCTCGGGACCCACTTCCTGTCACATATACCTGCCACAGCGCGTGAAGTGTGTGTTGTTTGTGTGTCGGGGCCTCCCTACCTTAAGTTAGCATGGACGCTCCCCTCCCCCCACTCTGTAACGTGACACCAGGAACAGCAGGCAGGGTCACAAGGTCACTTCCTGTATTCCACCACCTCCCTCTCTCCTGGTGACCCTCACCACACACACACACACACACACACACACACACACACACACACACACACACACACACTCACTCACCCTCTCCACTCTCCTAGTTGAGAAAGAGAGCAGCCACCAAACTAGCAGCTGTTTCCCAGCTTAGTGCAGGGCCGGTGATTTATGAGAGGAAGTGCCTCATGGTTCATCTTTGACTTGAGCTGTCTGTAAGGGCCAAGACTAATAGGTGCTCTGCTGGGAGTGTACAGCCACCACAGAGACGCATAAAAACACATGAGGAGGGGCGGAGGAGAGAGGGGCTTCAGGCCCCGTCGGTGGGGGGGGCAATCACTGAAATGGAGCATCAGGTTTTCAGGAAAGTTGAAACTTTCAGTTCAACAAATCCCAGGAAATGTGTGTTGCTCACAAAGCTGCCACATTCACCCCGGATCAGACTCAACTGCTATTCTCCTTCCCGGATAAATATCTACAGAAGCTCATGATAAAAGAAAAAAAGGTTTGAAATTTACATATTTTAGGAGGTGACACTGTTGCACACATTTGACCATTCGTTAATCTCAGCTGGGTTTTTTTGGTTCCTGTCCAATCCACTAACATGGAGGAGTCATGGTTTATGACCTCTACTGCAGCCAGCCACCAGGTGGCAATGAAGATATTTTGGTTTCACTTTTAAGGAGCTCCCATGTCGTCCATCTTTATAACATTATATGTTTGACAAAGCCCAGTGGGAAGAACGATTTATAGCAAATGTGTTGCATTAGCCTCTAAAGCTAACAGTGAACTTGTATTGAATAAAATACAGTCACGGGTTAAGAACCGTTTTGGGTTCATTTCCTGAATATAGGCATTTATAGTTATTGACTGAATATGGATTTTTGGTGGAATACGTCCATTTTGTCTTTGTGTTGGCAGTTCTGCTGTCTTGTTCCATCTGATGGTGACAATCTGTCATGTGGTTCTTGATTTTGGGGAAAACAAAGAAGAAATTGAGATCTTGACAAAATATCTTGAGCTGCACCACTTTGATGAAACACAGGTTAATCACTTTGTTACATGGATGCATTCAGTTCTGCTTGTGTTTCAAAGACCTTTCCTAAAGTTAGCGATAGTCTGCACGGCGGGCCGCCATGGACAGAGGGACATGCTGCAGGAGATTTACAGCCTTTGGGGGGATCGGGGGAGGATGGCGGGAGGGAGGACAGCTAGGATGGACATACTTCCCTAAATTATTCCTCGTTCGCCAAACCTAAACTTAACCCAACCCTTCCTCTGTCCCTCCCTCCAGCACGTCTCCTCTCTCTGCCTCTATTTTGGCTCATTCACTACTGGGGGAGTGAAAGCTATTGAAGCAATTCTGGGCTCATCCCAGGGGAGCGAGATGGGCCTGTTGAAGGATGAATCCTCCCGAGCTTTCAGTCGGGACATGTTTTGTGTCAGAAAATAACTTGAAATGCCCTCTGTCCAGCCTCGGGCCAAAATTTATAGAGAGGATCTCCAGAAATATAAACTCTTCCCCCTCAACTCCTCTCTGTCCCTGAGTCCTCGTGCAGTTTGAGCTCGCAGCAGAAAGTCTGGTCTGTGTTTTGAATTAGTTGCAGTCGTGGAGGCCAGAGTCGGACTGGTTTTAAACCGTATCGGCTCCTCCTCCCGGTAATGTCTTCTCCAGGGGGGTGGGGCCAGGAGCCGAGGCAGCATTTTATGTTATTTTTGGCCGGCTGCTCTGAGGGCTTTGTAAGAAAGCTGGGGGAAATTCTCAGCATGGTGGTTTCCATGTGGGGAGTAGGATATAATAGGGATAGCTTCAGGAGACAGACAGACACACACCAGATCTGGGTCATATAACTCTGGCAAATAATTCATAGCATGAGGTTAAGGCTTGTTGGAGCGTCAGATATTTGCATGTGCGGTGAAGATGTTGTTGTTGTCTCAAGATTTCGAGGGGCGAAGCCTCACCTGACGTTGACCGGTGTTTACGCTACAAGAAAAAGCATCAGGATCGATCGTATGAAGAACTTTTGCAAAGCAATTAGTAGAAGATGATCATATAACTCACTCAACCATTTTTAGTTATGCTTTGACCCCTGACTGTTTGTTTACTGGTTCTTCAGCAGGATTATGATAAAAACTAAAGCCATGTGTGTAGTTTGGTGCAGCCTGGTTGAATTTGATGGGACTATTGAGCCTTGTTATGAAGATTGTTCTGTTAGATCACATTTATTTCGGCAGATTATTTTACTCCTAAGTTACTAAGGCCTTTTAGGGATGCCGGTAATGGTTGGTTGGCTGATGGGTCTGTTGGTCTATTGGTTGGTTGGTCGGTCCGTCAGTAAGTTGGTTCGTTGGGTGGCTGGTCAGTTGGTTGGTCAGTTGGTTAATCGGGCCGTCTGGTGGATAGTTGGTCTGCCACTTTTCTCCAGACCGAAACATCTCATCATTCACAAATGAACCCCTGACACTTTCTGTAGGCCCACTATGAGGTGTCTGTTCTCTGAATGTTGAATGGATCGCTACAAAATGTGGGTCAGACACTTAATTGTAATAAATGAAAGTGGAAACCATTAACAACCTTATCTGCTCTACCACCCGAGGCCACTTGCTTTTGTCTGGGGACATTCAAATACCTGGAATTAGGTTTCTTTTCTGTTTAATGCCCGACAGGTGGAATTGTTTGTGGTATTTTTTTTTTCTTTGTGAAATGAAACACCTGCACCATTTTGGTGTCTCAAACTCACATTTCCAAGATGACACGAAGAGACGTCCCAACCTGCCTATCAGATGCCACACCCCCCAGTGTGCCTGTCGGAAATCTGTCCATCTGAGCGGCCCGACTGTCTAGTGTCTGGCCACGGTTTGAGTTGGAGAGGAGCCCTCGCAGCCTTTAATGGAAGGGGGGGGGGCAGGATACTGTTCACACATCCACGCACACACACACACACACACACACACACACACACACACACACACGGGATAGGTGGAATGTGTAGAAAGTGAGATTGAGGGGAAGAGGACAGGTTGCTGGGGGGAATAAAGGGAGAAGACTCAGGGGAGAGGCCAAAAAAAGGTTGTACTGGGAGAACAGACAGAAACATCAGCATGA